ATTCTTGATTAATATTAATATTATTTTTATTATAATATATATAGTTATATATAAATATGCAGCTGAAATATGGATGAACTTGACATAGAATATACTATTTAGAGAATGAATTGATTTTTTAAAAGTGTAACAAGAGATAACTTTTAGAGAAAGTTTTGAGTTTACTTACCTAAAGATTACTTTTAAAGAAGGTTTTCAAAGTGTAACTAAAGGGGACCTTTAGAGAAGGTTTAAAAAATGTGTCACTAAAGTTAATATCTCTAGAGAAGCTTTTATATATACATTTTTTAAAATTATCTTTTAGTAACTTAAATAAACCGTTACAAATACTTGAAAAACGTCATTAATAAACACTTTTAGAGAAGTTTTCTGAACAAAAGTTGACTAACCTCTAGAGAAGCTTTGAAAGTGTATCTAAAGCCCTAAAAAACATCTCTAAAAGCTAACAAAAGCACACCATTTGAAAACCCTCCCTAAAATTTTTACCTACCGTTATATAGAGAAGCTTGTTCACGGAATTGAAAAGCTTATCTAAAAGCTTTTAGAACTTTTATGTACAAAATAAAACCTTCACTGAAGGTCATTTTTTTCTGTAGAGGCGTTATCAAAACTAACTGTATACTTGTTTATTTAACCTAATTACCAGGTCTATGGATGTGGAAAAAGCTCCCTATCAGTCCCAGATATATCATCCTTTCAAACTATAATTCCCATAACCTTCCAACGAAGGAAAAGTAAAAGTAGCTATTGATGATCAATTCATTTACTTTATAATATTGTTTAGATAGTCTTTCAACATTTCAGTTTGCATAAGATCGATCCCAACTTTTCGGTAGCGATTTTTATGGAATATTTTTGGTTTACGTTGTCTTCTGGATGGTAGTAATGTTCACACAGTGCTAAATCGAGGAACCATGGGTGATGAAAACGAACGTTTAGGGACCACCAATGTGGATAATATGTTTAAGGGACCGTATCCAAATTTTTGTAGCAAATCATAGGGGCTGTGTGGATGCCTCTTAATGGTGACATTAAGAGGAAACCTCTTAATCGATAAGAGGTATGAGTTGTTTAGCAAAAAAAAAGAACCTCTTAATGGTTACAAAAGGCTCTTAACGTTTTAGTGTTTAGGGCTCTTCTAAATGATTCAGAGGGGTCTTCTTCCATTTTTGCCCTCTCCTCAAACTTCAACAGGCAACAGCCGTTGCTCCTCCCACGCCTCCCACCCTCCTTCCTCCTTCCTCCTTCCTCCTTCCTCCTTCCAATCGATCTCGCCTCCTCCCACGCCTCCCACCCTCCTTCCTCCTTCCAATCGATCTCGCCTCCTCCCACGCCTCCCACCCTCCTTCYTCCTTCYACCTTCCTCCTTCCAATCGATCTCGCCTCCTCCCATGAGTTACTACCTCCCACGAGTTGTTGTTGTGTCACCTTCCACGAGTTGATTCAAAGGGGTCTGTTGTGTCGACCGTTCCTCCCACCCTCGTTCCTCCTTCCGCCTTCCACAGCCTCCTTGCTGCTGTGTCGTATCCCTGCTGTGGATGAAAAAATAGTTATGGGTGTTGCTACTATAGCTGTTCGTTGACATTACAGTAAACCCTTGGCAATCAGAATGCTTAGATATTTGAGAACAAATCTGATAATTTATTATTAATTGTGGATGAAAGTTATCCATCTTTAAGGTGATCGAAAGCTGGGGTTGGACGGGTATATGATATAGGTCCTGATAAAAGGGTCAACTGATATGAAGAAATATCATCTTTTCTATATATCCATTTAGAATTGATTGTATTTTGCACTAGATGTAAATGCAAACAAGCCCTTGCATGTGATCATACAGAGGGTTAAAATGGTATTTTGTTGTCATACAGATAATAATTACCAAACAACTTTGTTTCATTCAGCACTTAACCATTCTGACTCTCTTAACCATTCTGACCTCTTAACTATTCTGCACTAAATCATTCAGCAACTGCGAAACAGCCCCATAAAATCTTCGGTGTAATTCATTCTTAATTGAATAAGGAAAAGAGAAAAAATAAAGTTAAAAATAGGAAGTTGCCCTTTAGTTTAATGGATGAGAGTTAACTTCGTTAGTAATGAAATGCAAACAACAACGAAGCTAAGTGTATTTATTTTGAAATAGGGACCATATTCAAATTTTAAGCAAACCACATGGACTAATAATATAATTTATACTAACTAAAATATTATTTATTTTATTTTATTTACCATCAACTTTGTAGTAGTTAATATATTATTTTATTAAGAATTAATTTGTTTTAACTATAAGAATATAAACGATAATAAAATTAAAATGGTAAGACCCTGAAAAAACTTGATAAATATTTTTATTATAATGAGGATATGTTGAAATTTTGGAAGTGTTAAATGCGAAAACATGATACAAAACCCTTGTAAAAAACTTCAATGAAAAACCTTAACATGCTTTTAGGGCCGTTTATTAAACGCTTACTTGGTAACTGCTTATCAAAAAAAAAAATTATCGGATGAACATGACAAGAGCCAAGAATCTTACCGGGTAAGAGCGATGAGAAGAATGGAGAGTCTTACCCAGGTAAGCGCTTACCCGATAAATTGTTCATTCAGTACGTTTTGATGTACTAAAATTTTACTCATCAAAATAAATTATAGTGTTGACTCTTATAGATATGCACTTACCGGATAAACATTTGAATAAACAATCCCTTGGTGTTGTTTTCATTTTATTGGAACAAAAAAGTAGAATAAAAAGGAAACTCAATTGAATTATTTAGATGGGTATTATTTTATACCAATGATTATATCCATGATCGGGGAGTTTTATAGTTATTATTAGTTATAGATGAACTTTGTTTTGGACCTTAGTGGGTTATCATAAAACTTGTGAAATTATTAAATGGTGTCGTGATTATAATTGAACTATTTAGTTGGTGTAACATGTCAAGTTATTATTTGTGTAGGGGTGGGCCTATTAACTAGACAGCTGGCTCTTTTAATACTTTTACATTTAAAGGAAAATTTCTCAAAAACCCAACAAACTGTTGCATTTTCAATGGTTAAGTTTTTTGAACTATTTTTTAAATGAAAAAATTATTAAAATTTCTCATTTTAAATAATTAAATCCTTAAATTATTTTTTGGATAAATAAACCATCAAACTTTTTAATTTTGAATAATTAAGTCCATAAACATTTTTTTAATAAAATAAATCATCAAATTTTTAAAAATTGGTTACTTACATTATTTTAACCCACAAAAACCTTCCTGTAACCAATTAGAAATGTTTTGAAATAAAAAGAAACCTTAATCAGTTTTACCGTCTCCAATCTCTACGTCTTTCAACCCCCTTGCAAGCAATGTAATCAAACACCCTCGCCACTCACTGTTGTCCTATCGTTGTATGTTCTTCATATATGGTATCATACTCTTGGCTTTGCCATCGATCTCCCTCTTTTTGATCTATTTTTAATGGGTTACAAGTAGTTATACTTTAAGATCTTTTTAGTCGGTTATGATAGTTTTTTTTGTTTAAAATAATATAAATAACCAATTTTAAAAGTTCCATCGTTTATTTTATTGAAGTTCTTTTAGAAAGTAATATTTTGGTTTCTGTCAAACTAGAGTAGATTAGTAATATTTTAGTTTCTGTCACATTCTTGTCCCATCTTGTTCCACCTATTTTGATGGAACAAGAAAAAACCTCTTTTGTCCCGTGCTATCCCACCTTGTCCCAGTTCTTGTCCCTGTCCCATGTCGCGTTAAACGTGGGACAGTGAGTTCTTGTTCTGTCTCATGCTACGCCAAACATAGGATAGTGAGTTTTGTCCCGTGTTGTCCTGTCCCGTCTCATGTACCAAACGCAGCCTTAGGGACGTAATCATTCAAATTTAGAAAGTTATGTTGTTTCATTAAAAAATAGTTTGAGAATTAATCATTAAAATAAAAAAGTTTAATGATTTTTTATTAAAAAATAGTTGAAGTACTTAATAATTCAAGATGAGATAGTTTGTTAGGTTTTTCTAATTTTTTTTATTAAATAAGTTCACTTTTATAACAAAATATATTATTAAAAAATTCTCGTCGAAACCATCAAAATAACACCAATATCAAATACCTAAAGAAAATATAAAATCATATAATATATATCCATATTTTTTTCACGAATTAATTTTTTTTATCCATGAGTTTTATTGTTTAATTATTTTTAATAAAATACAAACTTTATTTGACAAAAGAAAAAGGAAATGTCAAATTTGGAAGGCGTCAACAACTACTGTATAACAAACTGTCATGTGACAATCAATGCAATGTGTTATGATGGTTGTCCAATGTGTGGGTTTCATGCAACAATTTAAAGAGAAGAGGATAAATGTTAATTTTTAGAGGATAAATGTTAATTTTTAAATAATAACGTAAATATGTTATTTTTATACCTATACTTTTTTTTTTCATCGTCAACCATTTAATACAACTTATCAATATTTCTTATGTATATCACATTCAGTTAATTATCTTAATTTATATATATATATATATATATATATATGTTTACAGCTACTGAATATATATACGAATGAGTTATATAAATATTTAAATAGATTGAAAATATGTTTATATTAAGGGCGTACGTAATAGTGTAATTGTCTAATGTATATATTAATATAAATTCAACAATCATATTAAATCTAAAAAATAAAAAGATATCGGATTAATCGAATTAGGTTGGATTCAAATAATAGTAATCTAATATCAACCTAAAATCAACGATTTAAAATTTTTACAACTCAAATTAAACATCAAATGGCTTTGAATTATATTAATGTTCGTAGATCGAGTTGGTCGGGTTTTTGAAAAATATTACTCTCAATAATATTTTCTTGTAAGTTGGAATTAAGTGGCGGCAAACTTGTGTAAAACATAAAAAAATGATGTGACATCATTGCATGCGATAGCAGCCACCTGCTATAAAATACCCTTGCAAGGTGACACACACTCACTCACTCACTCTCTAATCCAAGCTTTCCAAAAATGGCGAATTCACCGGATACAGTGCATCCCATCAAGGCCTACGGTTATGGTGCCACCGATACTTCTGGAACCTTCTCACCTCTCACCTTCTCCAGAAGGTACGCCTTTCAGAAACTTAAAAAGTCCATCAATAGCATCAAATCGAACTGATTTTGTGTTTATTGGCGTTACGATTAATTTAGTTTTTGAGATATGAGCAAATTCGTAATGATTTTTCTCAAGTTCAATCGGTTTGAACTTACAACAATTTGTTGATTTAATTTAACAATTAAGTAATACATATTGCGACCTAATTTAGGAAGATCGATTGTGAGTTGATGGTGATGTGAATAATTGATTTGGTGTTGTTATAGGGTTACGGGAGATAAAGACGTGAGATTCAAAGTTCTGTACTGTGGAATCTGCCATTCGGATCTTCATTTCGCCAAGAACGAATGGGGTGTAACAACTTATCCCGTTGTTCCAGGGTACAAAGTCATCGATCTATTATTTGGTTATTTGTTATTTCATCTCGATTCCTACTCAAGTTTAGTCATTGTTTTCCTGTTCCTACTCAACATTTTTTAAGTTTCGTCATTGTTTTCCTGCTGATTGGAAAGTAGTTGAATCAGTTTATATCACAAATACAGAAATACTCGCTTGAAACCCCAACCTGATTGAATTGGTTAATCAGTAGGGGAATGGCGAGAAAGAGAGTAGTGAGAGTTGAAACGAGTTGTGGTCCGTGGAGTGGCTGACCAGAAAAAGATGCCTCTTTGTTGATTCTAGAATTGGAGAGATTAGTGGAATCAAATGCATAATCTATACTACATTATAAGTTATTAAAAACCATTATTTATGTATGAAGTATCATTTATTAATATATATTTAAAATTTAAGATTACAAGTAATTGTGCGTAAATACAATTTATTAAACCTCAATTTTTGAATTCGTATGACCAACTTAATTGTAGATAAACATAATCAAATACAGGATAAACATCTCATTTTAAATATAAAAAATTTAAAATATAATTAAGATAATCATTGAGTTCTAACAGAAATATTATATTTATAAAAGTTATATTGTTAAGCCAAAAATAAATTATTTCACTATTAGACCTAAATTAGATTATAATAAAAATTTGAATTAAAGAAATTATACAAAAAACAAGAACTTTTAAATAGTTAATTTGAATATTAATATCGATATATTTTTTTAAATTTTTATGATATCTTTAAATTTATTTTTATTCAAAAATAAAAATATTATCTTTCTCAAAACTATATAAACCGTATTATATTAACAGTGACAAAAAAATAAAACGAAACATTAAAATAAAGATATATCTCGCTACATTGTGCAAGTACATTTCTAGTATATGTAAACAAATACATACTCAGCCAAATGTTGTTTTGAGATCTGTAAACATTTGTGAAGTAAACAAGTGATCATAGTCTTTCATACGCTCAAGATCGGATTTGATTGATCAATAATTATGGTTTTTATCGGTCAAAAATTGTAGATTATGCAAAAATAGAGGAGGTAGTTTTGTAACTTTTACAAATAGGCGACAAACGGGTACATATGTGAAGCTATGTGATTCACGTGTAATTTACATATGAACTATTTTAGTTGATTTGCGTATGAACCCGTGTGATTCACATATGAACCTGTATTATTTACATATGAATTAATTAACTGATTCACATATGAACCTGTTGTTTCATATATGAATCAATTAAATAGTTCACATGTAAACTAACTAACGGGTTCACACATGAACATATAGTTTATATGTGAATCACATGGATTCATGTAAAAGTTACAAAACTACCCCTTAATTTTCTACATACCCATACGAGTAATTGTCCGGTGTTTTACGGTCAATGCCGTAAATGTTGACCACATAAAGGGCTATGATAACTTTTTTACTTCTCAAATATTTACCATTTCCTCAAATAAACATTTCCCTACATAAACATGTTTATATAAACCCGAAGAACCACAAATTTGTAAAAACAGTAACAACCAATCAATTATGTGTTATTTAATTATTTCAAAGATAGGATTTAGGGTACTGACTAATATATATTTGTTTCATAATATGTTTGTTTCAGATGTATTTGTTTCACAATGAAAAACTTTTTCATGTGTTTATGAAACAAAAAATATATGTAAAAAAGTTTCATATTCTGAACCTAATATATAAAAAAAACAAATATGTTGTGAAAAACAAGTATGTAGTTGTCAATTCCTTAAATATTATTCTTAGATTGGAAATAAAATCATGTGAAACAAATACCTTATGGTAAAGTTTCTCGTAGTTCTTAATTAATTCCGCAGCGGACCTAGAATATTTTGTCGGGCAACTGCACTTCTAAAGTAGATCATAGTCCCGCAAAATCGGCCGATGCCTTCTAGCCGAATTCCAATGTTTCGAGGGATTTTTCAACTTTTTTGGTTGATTTCGAAACAATTTTGGTTTTTGGATGATTTCGAATGACTTTTCATATTTTTTATTGATTTCCCTTGTATTTTCTAATATCATGGAACACTCCTCAAAATTTAGCACGTGCACCTTTCATACCCAAAAAAAATTACTTGCGAAAATTAGTTGGGTGGTGCATGGGACTCGTCAGTAGGCATGGCAACGGGCGGGGATGGGGCGGGGTTTGCAATCCCCGGCCCCGGCCCCGGTTTATATCAACAGTCCCCGGACCCGGCCCCGGCCCCGGTCCCCGGCGGGTACGGGGATTTACTTTTCGGCCCCGGTCAATCCCCGGTCAAGCCCCGGTCAACAGACCCGTACCAAGACCCGGTAAAATTAAATTTAATGTTTTTTTTCAAGCAACATCATCGTTACATCGTGATACATATGCTGTCATAATGGGTTTAAATTTATACCCTAAACAGATGCTGTCATAAATAAGTAGCATTGAATAATCCCACATCAATTCTGAAATTAGAAAAACCAAATTCATTACTCTTTAGGGTGTTGCTGTTTGGGTTTAGAAAAAACAAAGACAGACCTCGAAGGATCGAAGAAGACGACCGATGGTTGTGGCTCACTGCTGCAAATCAATGAAGAATTAGAAGACGATTAGGGCACGGGTCGTGGGTTGTGACGAGGACGAGCCGGCCGACGATGGCTGTGACGCTAGTCGACGGCAACAACAGTCAACACAGTGTGGTGTGTGCAGTGAGCCGACGGCAACGAGGGTTGTGAGTGTGAGCCAGATCCGACGTTCGGTGTTGTGTAGTGTGTTCTGTGTGGCTGTGTGATTTGTGTATATGAGAAGAGAATGAGAAGAGAAGAGGATGAGAAGAGAATGAGTGTTCGTGTGGAGTTGTGGACTATGGTGTGCGTGACTGAGTCTGAAGCCCAAGCCCCAAAGCCAAAGCCCAAATATGAAATATGAAATAAGTCAATYTTGAATATACCGGGTACGGGGCGGGTCGGGGGATACAATACCCGGCCCYGGCCCCAACCCCGGTTTGCCTCTACCGGGGATCCCCGGCCCCGGCCCCGGTACCCGTTTTAGCGGGGAATCCCCGTCCCCGTCCGGGTCGGGTGAACCGGGTTCCCCACCGGATCGGGCCAAATCACCATCCCTACCCGTCAGGGCCTTTATAGGTCCGCCCCTGGTTCAATAATATATTAGGTTCTCATATGATTATGCTCCGTATACATCAGGATCCATGGAGATACCAATAAGTACCAAATCCCAGAATTCTTAATTTTGAATTCTGGAATTTCCTTCTGTTACAGTGTTAGAACCACAATCTGAATATGTATTTGTATGAATGCATATATTTAATGAGCTTTTGATGACAAATGAAGGCACGAGATTGTGGGTGTCGTCACAGAAGTAGGCAGCAAAGTAGAGAAATTCAAAGTTGGGGACACAGTCGGGGTTGGATGCTTGGTCGGATCGTGCAGATCATGTCAAAGCTGTTCTAACGATCTCGAACAATACTGTCCTAAGATGATCTTGACCTATAGTGTCCCCTACTTCGATGGCACAATCACATACGGTGGCTACTCTGATCACATGGTATCCGATGAGCATTTTGTGCTGCGTTGGCCACAGAATTTGCCACTTGATTCTGGTGCACCTTTGCTATGTGCTGGGATCACAACTTACAGCCCACTTAGACACTATGGGCTCGATAAGCCAGGGACCAAGTTGGGTGTGGTTGGTCTTGGTGGGCTCGGTCATGTTGCTGTCAAAATGGCCAAGGCTTTTGGAGCAGAAGTTACGGTTTTCAGTACCACCCCAGCCAAAAAGCAAGAAGCACTTGAAGGACTTAAAGCTGACCATTTCATAGTTACCAAAGATTTGGAGCAAATGCAGGTGACTATCATATATATATTTTTTGAAGCATATAATATTTATAAACCGTAAATAAACTCATACACACTTCTCACCAATAAGTTGGGTTACCATGTATCGCTGGCCAATGACCCTTTGATAACTACCATTCTTTTTTTACAAAGTAGTTGGAGAAAATTATAGTGTTAGACGGGTTTGTTGATTATGTGAATAGGCTGCAACGGGAACTCTCGATGGAATCATAGATACAGTGTCTGCGAGTCATGCAATCGCGGCGTTTTTAAACGTTCTCAAAACGGATGGAAAACTTGTGCTTGTTGGTGTACCGGAGAAACCCCATGAGCTACCAGCATTTCCTTTGATCATGGGTAAGATTATTTTTTTATAAGTTTATGTTTTAGTGTCATAATAGATTGTTTATAAGGCTTAAGTTTATAGGTTCAACCCGTTGTTCCACATGCAAAAGAGTTGCAATAAGTTTATAGGACATTTTGGCCAAGTTTATAGGATATTTTGGCCGCCTTACAAGTTTATCTAGGTCACTTTTGAAATAAAACATCATATAATTTTTTATGACATTATTTGAAAAAATTGTTACAGAAACAAGTGTCATGTAAAAACAAAAAGGGACTTCTAAAAATGTCTAAAGAAAAGAGCTAATACGACATTTTATTTTAAGCGTGTTTTAAAGAACTCTTTAGGACGCCCAAAACTGGTCGATCAATATATGAATAAAAAACTCGAGGCCCTATAAACTTAAGTCTTTATTAAGACACTTTTGGCGTGTTATAGACCCGATTTTGTTGTAGTGATCTTCATACTCGGATCACAATTTCAGTCAAAAGTAATACTTCTTAAAATTGACACAGGGAGGAAGATTGTTGGTGGTAGTAACATTGGAGGACTGAAAGAAACTCAAGAAATGCTAGATTTCTCTGCGAAGCATGGGATAACCGCGGATGTAGAGGTTGTCCCAATAGACTACGTGAACACGGCCATGGACCGTCTCTTGAAATCCGATGTTAGATATCGGTTCGTTATCGATGTTGCAAATTCACTCAAGGCTCCACTTAACGAACATTAGATGCAAAGTCTGAGGTTGATGGAGTTTTGGACAAAAGTTGCTCATCGTATTTTACTTCTCTTAAGGTTATTGTTACTTTGGTCAATAATATTAATGCCTTTTTTCAAAAGCGTGTTTTAGTATAACTCATTTATATGAAAACACTTCAAGTGGGTTATATTTTATTGATAAAGAATTAAACGGACAACTTGACAAAATTTGAAAAGATATTTAAATTGTTAAACAACATTCATGATAATTTCTGTCTCTATCGATATAATACAATTTTATGTGTTTTAAAAAAATCAATAATGTTTTTATTTTTAAATGAAATATAAATTTAAAGATAATATAAAATTTTGAAAAAAAAAATAAATCGATATTAGTATCAAATTAACTATTAAATAGTTCTCATTTTTTGGTATAACTTTTTNTTATCTTTCCGCAAACAATCTTGTAAAATCTGTATTGATCTTCTTTATCAATATATATTTTAAATTTGAAAATTGTGTTTGTATTCATCCCCCCCCCTTCTACAACCTGTTTAGTATTCTTGTAGACCCTTTTGGGACCAACAAGTTGTAACTTTGTTAATTTTTTTTTTCTAAAATGTATTATACATTTATTTGTTTATACTTTGGATTGCTTCGACTTTGTACTCAAGAGTTGCTTAATTATTACATTTATTTGTTTAGATATTTTGTTTTGTTAAATTGAATATTTAATCTAAAATTCTAAATTACATATGTTTTTTTTAAGTTTAATATTTAAAGTTCATTAAAGCCCCAAACCGCCTAAACCGGTCAAACCATACCGTCTTTTCGTGGTCTAGTTTGACCGGTCTGGGCACTTAATGTTAAACCGCTCGGTTTGAAAATTTCATAAACCGCCATTATGGTTTGATTTGTGGTTTGAGGAGTTAAACCGCCCAAACCGGACCGCGAACACCGGCAGTTTTAGATTGAAAAATGACAATTAATGAGTTATATCAACACCCGACCTTAACTTAGCCTTTATGTAAATCTTTGTGTATCATATGTAGATGACTAATTTTGGAGGGCAGTTGATACTGTATTTTTTATTTTATCTTTTGGTAACCGTAGGTTTTTTTCAGGCCAGCGTACATATACCGACTAATCTTAGGGATGGCAAAAAAAACTGAAACCCATGGTGAAACCTAAAATCCGAAACTTTCGGGCCGGGTTCAGGGACATTTTATCGGGAACGGGGCGGGGATTTTAACGGGGACGGGGACGGTGATATGTGTATATGTATATATATTCATTTTAATTTATATACATATATATATATATATATATATAATATCATAAAAAAAATAGTAACATTAAAATTTAAAAGACTTTTATTCATTTTACTCAACAACCCAGATAAAGTTCACGAAAAAATCTAGTTTATTTGTCTAAAATCGTGATTTTAGTTGTATGATGTTTGAATTTCTGTTTAGTTTTGTATTGTAATATAATACATTGTTTGTAATTGGTTCAATTATGTTTGAGACATTTAAACTTACATCTTAAAAAAAATTGTAATTTACTTTTAATTGTGAAAATTAGCATATTGTAATTTTTTTCAGATCGGTTTCGGGTATAACCGACGGTGAAAATGGGGATTTTTACCCTTAACGGGTTCCCAACTGGGATCAGGGAAACCGCGGGGACCCGATAATATCCCGACGGGGATCGGAGCGGTCACGTGAACGGTTTTATCTATCGGTTTCGGGGACGAGGATACCAATACCCGACTTATTGCCATTCCTAACTAATCTCCTGATCAACCATAAATGACTTGTAGTCATATTGCTATGAACCTCCATGGCCACATGAATACTTGGTATTTTAAGTTGATAGATATATTAATATACAATTTTAGTTTTTTAATCAGGTCTTTTAACCTTCACATAAACAAAAATATGAACGTTCCTTGTTGTTAACAAATGTAAAATGTGAAGGTTTACTGATGTTAACAAACATATGAATGTTCATTTTCATTACCAAAAATGTGAACGTCTGTTGTTTTATTAACAAAAATGTTAAAAGTTCAGTGTTGTTAACATGAGTGTGATATACTTTTTTTTGTTCTTTTTACCGAATCTTTCATACGGACTTTTACACGTAAAATATGAAACGTGAATGTTCATTGTTGTTAACAAAAATACGAAAGTAAACATGACAATTCATTGTTGTTAGTAAAACAAATGTGAAGGTTTACTGGTGTTAACAAAAATATGAAAGTAACTGTGAAGGTTTACTGGTGTTAACAAAAACATGAGTGTTCATTGTTGTGAACAAAATTGTGAAAGGTTATTGTATATGTAGTTTGAGTTGACATCGTGGAGTTTGTTCTATGCGAGCAACATGGCTTGACATTGCTCCGAACCATTTTGTAATTGTGTGACATGTGGTTGTTAGGTATATGATGTATCACTTAGTGGTAGAATGGATCGATATTTCTTAACTGTAACTTGAAACAGGTATTGGGTCTTTATAGGCAATAAGGTGTGGACTATTGGAGTCGGGCATCGGCTAATGGTCAACAAAATGTAAATTTTAAGTGAATTAGCTTAACTTTGATATTGGGGATCTAAGGTAAAGACCCAGTATGGTTGAACTTGGTGACTCCACAAGAAAAAATCTTGAAGTAGTTGAGTTTGTCAGTCCATTATACTATAGACCTGGAGAGGTTGATCTTAATGATTGATTATTCTTAAGTAATGGGTGTGCAACATTGAATGGTGTCTTACTTATATGTTCCGTATTGTCAATTGCAAATCGGGTGTCCCCCGTCATCATAAGATGTTTTAAGCCTTCTAAGGGTAAAATCATTTTTAAGTGCAAGAGGTGGTAGACGATTCCAACAACCACTAATCGTCGAATGATAGACCAAATGATCTTGCTTTTGGTGGCTTGCTGGAACATACTAATATTATCAGCCAAGTTATCCGGGGTAATAGGGAGGTTCAACTTGGGCTTAAGGCCATTCCAAACTTGATTATAAAACAAACACTCAAAGAATAGACGCTGATGAGAATCAGGACCGTTCAGACAGAACACACAAGACAGGTTAGAATAGGCCTTCTAGAATCGAAGCTTATCATGCGTCTTCAGACGCTGCTTGAGGGTAACCCAAAGAACGAAAACATGTATGAGGATGTTTTGAGAGAACCAGACAATGTGATGTCAATCGACATCCGATTTATTGGGGCGGATGGAGAGCCAGACCTCATGGACAGAGAAAGAAGTAAGACGGTCACCTTTTTTTCTCCAGAGAAGTTTATCAGGGACAGAGGAGGAAAGTACATGAGGAGGGAGTTGGGACTGTCCCGCAGGTGGGGGCAAGTCCAGCTTCCCTGACAGATAATGTCCTTAACACATGCATTAAGGAAGAGGTTAGCGCTGAGGATATTACAGGGAGAGATTTGTCGGCACAAGGGGCAGTAATGATTATAATAGAAGGGTATTCACGCAATGCAACGAAATATATATCGATTTCAATGTTTCATTTTTTTTTGGTCTTTGTCGATGTTACAATACGAATTTATGTGGTTTTCAACAAACAATAATGTTTTTCTTAATAAAATATAAATTTGAAGATGTCATAAAAATCAAAACAAATATAAAAGTTCTCATTTTTTTGTGTAATTTCTTTAATTCAATTTTTTGTTATAATTTAATTTAGGTTTAATGAAGAAATAATTTATTTTTGGTTTAATAATATATTTTTTATAGAGATAATGCTAGAACTCAATGATTATCTTAATTATATTTTAAATTTGTTATATTTAAAATAGATGTTTATCCTGTATTTGATTATGTTTATATACAGTTAATTATGGGAATTTAAAAATGAAGCTTTAAGAAGTTGTACTTACATAAAATTACTTGTAATCTTGAATTTTAAGTAATATGCATCAATAAACAGTGTTTTATGCATTAAAAATGGTTTTTAAGGGTTTTTGTCAAATACTTTATAATATAGTATAGATAAATAGAGTGGATCACATGAGAATGAAATCAAAATAAGAGAATAAGTATGGAATACGTTGAAACGCAACGGTGACCTGATCTAACTTTAAGTTATGGTCAAAGTTGTATGATTTTACATGTTATATTAACGGTGGCAGATCCAAAAACTTAAGTTACTGATGCCTTAAAAGGGTATAAGAAAATCTGAAAACGATAATTTATCCGAACGACAAGGGTTTCAGATAATCCCGTTTGCAAGTTTAACGGTTCGATTAACCGAATAAGTAGTTCCCGTTTCAATTGTTTTACCATGTTGGTCAACCGAATAAATTATACAAATATTTTATGAGATAATTCTACTATTGTTGGAGATAGTTTCCTATTTTGTTGCAACTCCTAAACTCTGTATTTATATATATATACTAGTTGGATACCCGCGCAATGCGGCGAGATGCGAATGTTTTTTGTAAATCGAAGGTGTGACGTTTATGATCATTATAAACTTCAAATTTTATTACGGTTGATTGAACGAAGATTTGAAAAGAGAATCGCACGATTAACGGATTTCTAAACACATATCAATTGTTATTCTTAGATTGTTTAATAATGATTTTCACTTAATGCAACTCATGATCAAAAAAAACAAAAAACAAAAATCATGTTTAAACAAAACAGAGATATAATCATCTAAAATAATATAAATCGACACATACAGAGTATGAGAAGATRCCACTTGAAGCATCCATATGTTAAATATACCCTGTAAGAAATGTCTTATGATTAGAATATAGTATAGATATCAAGCGTAGTTGTAAAAAATGTGTAACAATAAGTACTCGTTTGTACCTTATTAATCGCGTAAAACTTCTTGATACACCACGTTTGATGTGTAGACTCCGTCACGATTGAATTTTTTGGTAGGCTTTACTAATACCTTTGTATTTTCACGTGATGTCCCTCTTGATAACGCCACATAAAGTTGTCCGTGAGAGAATACTGATTCCGGTAGATACACACCTACATTAGGAATGGTCTGTCCTTGAGCTTTATTGATTGTCATAGAAAAGCTAAGCCGGACTGGAAACTGTTTTCTCTTCAATTTGAAGGGGAACATGTTATCTTCAGATNATACTTATACATAATTTATTTATAATTTTGAATTTTAAATTATATACATTAATAATCATTTTTCATGTATACATAAAGGAGATAGATAAATTTCTTGAAATAAAATTATTAAAAATAAATTAAAATTATAATGTTCTTGAGTCGGGGGAATATATAAGGGTGTCGGGTTGCTTCAGCGGCGGGAGGTCAGGCGAGCTTATTCTCCAGATACATTCCTCGGCGATTTAGAGAGAGATTTATATAGAAGAATGGTGGGCGAAGAGAAAAGGCATCAGATGATGCAAAATTTGTTCGGTGATCAATCGGAAGAAGAAGAGGAAGAGGTTGAATCGGAACACGAATCAAATCGACAACCCGATTATGTATCGGTATGATTTCTCTCAATTTACCGCACGCAGACGCTGGTTTTGTTGTTAATTTAGTTGTATGAACTGGAAAACAGAAGCTCGAGTTTCTGTAGCATCGTATCGCAACTTAGTTTTATTTGTCGAATTTGGTACCTAGGTCTTATTGATTGCAATCCGTGTATGGTTGTTGGGAAAAGTTCAATGTTGGGGGTTTCATTCGAATGGAATTGCTGGTTGTTTGAATTAGGGGATTTTAAGGTTAAAATTCATTACGGCATTGTTCCGTATAATCAACCAATTAATATGATTATTTCCATATTCCATGTTTGTTGGAAAAGTTAGAACTGGTGTTTGAATCGTGAAGTAACACAAGAACTTGTTGTAGGAGTTGGTATTATGCATAATTTTGGGCTGGAACGCTAAAAGATGAGCATCATTGATATCTATTTTCATGATATCTTATTAGTTATGCCCTTATGCATTTCCCAAAAAGAGGTATATTTGAATTCTTATAATAGGTCTGTGTTTCAACTTAACGATTGGAGTTTGATAGTAGAAAGCTAACACAAACGTTTTTCAAAGGAGCAGGGAGGTATTTTTCCATCTTTAGTTTTCTGTACACAATTTGGTCAATTTACTTCCTGTTCAACTGGAATTAAGCATGTGTTTTGGTGGATTATAATCAGATAAACAAGCAAACAATCACTTAAGCCACTTGTAACAAGACTTGATACTTTTAAGTTCACTGTCACGTATCAAGAATTTTACATGAGCTAATTTCTAAGTCTTAGTTATATATCGATGTTTACGCAGGGCATGGAACATTATAAAGTAAGTTGCAGACACACTTAAATCTAAAAATATGACAACCAAATGTTTAATATCACGATAAATTATTTTGTATAATAGCACCACGTGTAAATAATAAAAACTAAAAGCCAATTTTGAATTAAAAAAGGAAATTACATATAGCTTACTATGTGGAAAAACAGTACGATTCACAATCGTATGTTGCCTTATTATCTGTAAATTTAAAAAATCAACCAAGGAGCTTAATAGGGTAAAAATATTCATTAGCCATACAGTAATTTTGTACATACATCCTATCGGCTATAAACTTTCCCAATTATTTTTTCCTAACTCTTAAGAGTTCATATAGTCAATAGTTCAGTCCAGAAGTTTCAACTTGGTATGGATTACCATGACAAATATAAATTGGGTATGCACAATGTATAATAAATTTTTGTGACCTTACAACCTTTTATTTTCTGGTATGCACATGCATATCCAACATTCTTCCAGGCGCGGCCCTGCAAGGCTGCATTAGCCCAGTTGGTATAGTAGACAATTTTGATAATATATAGTCTTCTATGGTCAGTTATAAGAGACATTCTATCTTGCCGTTTATTTACTGTGAATGAAGCTTTCATTCTTTGCATGCCAACTTTGCTCTTAACTAATATCAAGGTTTCTATAAAGTCTATATTGCTGTATATATATGTATATATATTTATTTATTGGTGAGATCGGTCTATTTTATTTTTTTATCTTTATGAATTAGATGAATTAACTAGCTACTTGCTTTTATCTTTGAAATCAAAATTAGGGATTCAGTTATGTGTTATACATGGAGCATTTATTCTTAGATATTATTATTTTTAAGATTAAATTGCAAAAATCGTCCCTGTGGTTTGGGGAAACTCTGGTTTTCGTCCCTCGACTTCGATTATTACACCAGTAATCTTGTGGTTTGCATTTTGTTACGGAAATCATCCCTGGCCCTAATAGCTGTTACCATTGACTGTTAAGTGCCTTCATGTGCTAGCCATGGGAGGGGAATTTTGGTCATTTTGGTCATTTTTCTTCTCATATCCTTCTAATATTTATTAAGTGTAATGGTGTGTGTACAAGTATGTAAAACATTTAAATAAAAGTAAAATAAAACCCAACCCCTCCCCCTACACCTCCATCTCCGGCTACTGTTCACCAACTCATTGTTGGTCACCATGCACATCATTCTTCTTTGGCACCCACCTTCTCCGGTCACTGTTCACCTTATTCTCAAGATCAAAACACCACTTGTTCATCTTCTCCAGTGATCGTGTTCAATCAAATTGTTCAGCATCTCCAGCCACCACATCCACTCAAATCCCAGGCTCAGATGTATCAGATGGGAGATGGGTTAGGTGATATTTTGGTTGCTGAAGCCTTAACTATGGGAAAGGTTTTATTTCTTCTGCTCAAGCTTTTGTTACTATTTTAGAGTTCAAAGGGGTGGAGAAGATGGAGGTGGATGTCTCTGGAGGAAGAGGGGGGNGGTTAGTGTAGGTTATTTATTTATTTTATTAAATGCTTTAAGGACTTGTACACCACTTTCTTTTAGTAAAAAGGCAAAAAAACCAAAATGTCCCTCACGTGAGGGCACATAACAGCGGCAGCTAAATCTCGTTGTCAAGAATCATTATCTAGCTGGAAAGGGGGATGAATTGCTGTTGTTTTCTTTTCCTTTTTTAGTTTCTGTTGTTTTATGCAAGTGTAGCATGCTTAAGGTTGTGAAAATGTAGCTTTTATATGCTACTATAGATGTGACTAAGGATGTTCTGCTCTCGCGACTCGCGACATGATATAGGACTACAAAGGAAACCTGTTCCTAAACAAGCTCCTCCGTCCTCTCTTTACATGTTCTTGTACAAGTTTCGTGTTTCATGTTTGTGGTTGCATGTGAAAATGTAGGTACTAGATGTTACTATAGATGTTCCACTCTCGTGACATAATGTAGGACTATAGAGGAACCCTGTAAACAGTTTCTTTCTTATCTTCACATGCTCATGTACAAGTATCATGTTTCAAAGGCGCAAACTTCATGTTTTGATGTAACCGACCACCCTTTGATGAAAAGATGATATTTGGAAAATACGATCTGTAAAGGGAAGTGTGTTGCAAATCCTTTCAAGGCTTTATAAGGATAGAAGTGGTCAAGATTTTGATTCCAATTTTATTTATTTATGCATACTGCAGTAGTGCAGTCTAGTAGGAAACTTGTAATTCTATGGGATTCTTGACCAAGTTTACATCACTTTTATTTATTTTACACTATTTATGACTTTGCCTCTTTTCTGTTATTTGTGTTATCTTGTAATGTTAGTATCTCCAGGTTCTCTTGTTAAACCATATTTGTTTTATTTCATCTCAAATAACCTTTAAAAGCTAAAAAGTGAGGGAGTGTTCTTTTACTAAATTGAAACTTCTATTCTCAGGATGAAGGGGACGTCGGGCTGAAGCCTGAAGGTGAAGACGTGGTAGAAGGTCAAGGGGAAGCAGAGGTCAGTAGTGATACTGATGGTGAATTACATGAGATGGATCAAGATCACATAGAGAGCGAGGGCGAGAGAGACCAAAGCTCTCAAGAAGTAGATTTGGGAGATCAAAGAGAAGAAAGTGAAGGAAAAGATTCAGGAAGTGACCAACTTGGTCAAAGAGTTGTGACAAGTAGGAGGCGAGAAGTAGTGGAGAGTGAATCAGAAAGATCAGAGGAGAACCATTATTTGGATAATGCAGATGAAGAAATTGATCAGGCTAGAAGTCCAAGGTATCATGCTTACCCGTTCCATCCTTATCTTGTTTCCCATTCCATCTCTCTCTCACTCTCTCTTCACATGAGTCTTGGCTAGTCTTCCTTATGCTATCAGTTCATGTACCTACTCAGCCGGAAGGCTAAGTTTCTGCTGTTGATCCTTGTTTACCCTCACATATACCTACTATAACATTAATTTTGTTTTCTGTGGCAATTTGTTTACGGGCTATTATGTCCACTTAATCATATGTAATTAAAGCAATTCCGGGTTTATTTTTTGTAACAATTGTGATAGTGTAGCACACTTTGTGAAAGATATATCTAGTGTGGCAGATTAGGAAATATCACCAATCCTGCAAAACTGATAATTTTGGATCCCTATCTGTAATCCATTAAATAGGTCCAATCCATAATGCTTCCTCTGTTATTTGGCAAAACAAACATTCAAAGCACTTCTGCTTGCATTTTTCGTACTTTTTATTGGTTAGTCATGGCTTGTAATTTTATAAGTAGGTCCCCTGATGAAGAGAAAGATGAAGCTCATGCACAGACTGCGCCTGAACTCCGAGATGTATTTGGGGAATCAGATGATGAAGAACCAGCAGAATATGATGCTGTTCAGAATCATCTTGAGGACGATGCAAATGTTTGTATTCGATTATTACAAAAACCATTCTTATATTTTCTTTATCATCTATTATGATGGTTTACTAGTTCAATCATTGTTTTCTAGAATAAATTAATCTGTTTCTTTTTCTTCACAGAGATCCCCTATGGAGGATGAAGGTTACGAGAAGAATCTCAGACCAGAGGACGTGTTAGCTGATGAAGAGGGTCGCTATGATTCTGAAGAGGAGAATGTTATTAAAGCTAAGGAGAAACCAGTAGGACCCCCATTGGAGCTAGGGATACCATTGCGACCTCCTCCCTCACATCCTGAAAAGGTCTAGTCTCAAATGTGTTTTGATACAGAGCTATAGCATGTTGTTGTCACTTCCAGGGAAAATGACACGAGTTAAATTCTAGGAGATATTAAGCACATGATTTGCTGTCATCATGGTTGTGAGCTTCTGTGATGCGCAATTTTAGCCTTTTCATCTGAGATGTTCAAATATAAATCATAAATCTAACTCTTGGATAGTCAAAATACATGAAGTATCTTGCACTTGATTTTGGGAACTAAAATCCAACTTCTCTTTCTCTTGCTTGCAGATGAACGTGATTAAAGTTTCTAATATTATGGGTATTGATCCTAAACCCTTTGATCCAAAGACATTTGTTGAAGAGGATGCATTCGTTGCTGATGAATCTGGACATAGCAAACGCATTCGCTTGGAGAATAACATTGTTCGCTACAGGGCCGTTAGAAATGCTGATGGCACTACATCTGTAAGTCATACAAGTTCACATGATTCGGTACCCGCTCTTGCTTCATACTATTTAGTCTATCAATGTTCCTATTGTTGGTTTCAAGTGTTATGCACATGGGTTGTGGGGAACTATCATAGATAAATATAGTTATGCTCGTGAAAGTAACAAATGGATATAATTTTGCTTTCTAGGAGATGGTATAAGTTGATGGTCGTATCTTTTGTGGTAATTCTCGGCAACTGAATGTCTGAATGCATGTCGTTTTCTAGAAATTATTATATAGGGTACAGTTTTCTTGATAAGTATCCATTTCTCTAAAATTCATTTTTTCATTCATCATCTGTCACATGAAAGGGCAAATATTTACAATTTTGCCAAGTGGATGTGCCACATATGTCTTTTTATCAACTCTGGTGATAGATCCAAGCACTCACACTCTTCATATATCTTCTATAACTCCGAGGAAGTACTTAATTGTTAATTTTCCTTATTGCAATCAACATGTAGAGCAAAGTAGCCTTCATGCATTGTAATATTAGATCTGCATCGTTGAAGAGGCAAAACTTCCATTTACCTTTATTCTTGGTTTTTTATTTTTCACTGAAGGAATTCTAGAACTTATATAGGAGTGGACGAGTACAACAGCATTTGCTCCAGCCTCCAGCAAATTGTTTGGACGTCAATAGTTACTGATGTTCCTTGCTTTAAAACTTTAATTGCCTGGTTTAGTACTGTGCAATCATTGATTCACTTGTAATATGGCTGAAGTATCTATGGAAGATTTTTATCACATCCAAGGTGCCATACAACCAAACATAATTGTCATGATATGCTGCAAGATGTTATCTTCTTGAGCTTCTAAGTTCTATCCAATTGAATGTGGTTACCTTGTTTACTGCATATTTTATGGTCCCAAGGGTGCAACAATTCACTTTATAAACCAAACCAAACGAACCCCGTAATTCTCACAAAGAGGTAGTGAAGGCCCCTGCTTGAACCTATTCGCTTTACAGTTAGTCTTGACTTCTAACATGTCTGTTTCTGATCTGTACATGCTAAACCCTTGGGTTTGATCGCTTAAAAATTTTGTTTCTTATTTTGAACGGTCTTTCATGTAGTATGAAAGCAATGCACGCTTTGTGAGATGGTCGGACGGCAGCTTACAGTTGCTCATTGGCAACGAAGTTCTTGATATCTCAGTGCAGGATGCGCAGCATGATCAAGCTCATCTTTTTCTTAGACATGAGAAGGTACTGAAAACATGTTTCTTGCTTCATGGTAGCTCTATTTACTTGCAAGGAATCTTAAGCACAATGTTGTCACTCTCAAAAATAACATAAGACAAGATGAGGTAAACATCAAGTTTGATAACCGAAGCTTACCCATAGGCAACTGTGATCTTATAATGTCAATCACTTTAACGTTTTCTGTTTTGGTAAGTTCTTATGTTAAGATAATACTCTTTTGCCCCTTGTCATCATTAAAAATGATTTGAGGGTACACAAGCTCCGTCTTCTTGGCTTCATAGAAGGATATTTTAGATACTTGGCGAATAATTGACCCATTTTTTTTGACTATGTGCCAAGTGAGAAGGTTCAATTTTGATGGATGGGGGTAGTACTACTTCCTTCAAGTGTACAAAGTTTTTAGAGAGGAGTCAATAAAAAATATGAAAGAGAGAAGGAAACAAATCCATAGAGCTAACGACTTGACACATGCAATATCTGCATAGGGGGTCCTATATCAGAGTTAGTTCTCGAGAATTGACATGCTAGTCTTTGATTGAACATGAAATTATTTTTTTCAAGTGAACAAAATGTTGAAGGAGTTTCTACATGAAGTTAAAGGGGAAGGCAGTAAGAAAAAAAAATAAGTTTCCAAGTTTAATTAGAGTAATCGAAGACGGCAACTGCACTCATGCATGTAGGTAAGCACATGCTGTAAAGTGTTACTCGATATTTGCATTACTTACAAACATAATGTTCCTCTAAAAAAATGAATGCCAAAATAAGCTTCCTCCCAAGTACCAGTAGAGACGGATTTAGGTTGAGCATCATTGCATAAACTTTAGGTGTATAATTACAATTATTTCATGCTTAAGAACTAATTTGATCTTACTTAGTCAGGTGTCAGGAGTTGCTTCTATGGTACTTAATTTTTCTTAAACTCGATCATGTGGATCTTTAGCATAGATATATTCATTTCCTTATTTACCCATGTTTAGAATAACCAATAATATGTCATAGTGAAAAAAGTCATAGCCAAATATGTTGTTTTCCTGTTGATCTGTTATCATTTTTGAGCATTATTTTATTGGGGCTCATCATATCCGTCCGTAATTGATAAGTTGTCACACACAATTCACATGCTTCTAATTCCTGGACTAAAATTGCCAAGGTTTTATCAAGTCATCATTATGTTAAACTGCTTTTATACCTTCTAGGAGAATGTCATTCAAGTCCTAGTAGAATGGCTAGTTGGGACAGGACAAATGTGGTAGTTTCTGCTGCTTGTACCCAATGCACACGCTTCTAGCAACCCTATTGCATATGTATTTTTAGAACACAATTGGAAACAGTTATACACCAATTGCACATCAACTTATAATAATCTCACTCCATATGGGCTTCGCAGTACGCTGCATATGCATGTACCAGTTTGGTTAAACATGCATATTTCAATTATGATGCCATAGCAGCCTCACACTTGGTGCTCTCTTTTTATTAGTTCTTCTCCCACAGACAGCCAAGGAAGTCAAAAAACCTGATATGGAAATGGAGCACAGTTGCAATTATGGTTGAGGTGGTGGTATTATGGTGTTTGCTAAAGAAAAGATATTTGATGTCATAAATTGAAAAACAATCACGAGAAGCTCAGCATGTGATGGAACTAGGTGATGTTGATTTGAACCATTGTTGGATCTAAACAAATAGATGCCTAGGTCAGGTTCAGGTCGAACTCTTAACTCAATTAGAGGATGTATTAGATATTGTTACGATGGTACAAGCATAATCAAAAACTCCAAAGAGTGAGATAGAAATGCTTTAGAGTTTCTAGTACTTTACAATTATTGAACTTGTACTTGGCAATTTGTGCTGCTGAAGAAGAATGTTCTGTTTGTTTGTCTGGGTGGGTGTGGGGTTCCTAATTATTTTGAGTTACATGTACATTATAAAGGATTGAATACTGTAGCTGGTTTGTCTTAAATTTAGGATGATCATATGTCACCATGATTGGGTTCTTGTTGTTTCTTCTCTTAGTTATGTGTGTGTGTACATTACACATGCATATATGATGAATTTGCATGCGTGGGTGTGGAAATAACTGTGGAGGGCTGCCATGGCATGTGTAATGTACAGGGTAGCCACAGGCCAACCATGATTGGGTTCTTGTTGTTTCTTCTCTTAGTTATGTGTGTGTGTACATTACACACGCATATATGATGAATTTGCATGCGTGAGTGTGGAAATAACGGTGGGGGACTGCCATGACATGTGTAATGTACAGGGTAGCCACAGGCCAACCATGTAGTCTCCCACATGGAGTTGGGATTTGAGCTTAACATGGATAAGTTGAGGGAGAGAAGACTGAGGTGGTTTGGACACATTCACGTTAGACAGATAGTATCCCCAGTAAGAAGGGTGGAAAGCGTGCTTGTTGACGGGGCAAGGAGGGCCATGCCAGGGTGGATTTGGGTTGAGCAACTTCGGATGACGGCTCTAGTAATTTCCAAGGACATAGCCTCTTACAGAAATGCTTGAAGATGCCAGACTAGGGTAGCAGACTAGGGGGACATACAGCTAGCTGAGGTGGGAGGAAAGGAGTTGATGGAAACAACGGCTCTACTCTTTGGGATAGAGTTCAGGTCAAGGTACATCCTACCTTCCCCAGACCCCACCGCCACCCCTGGTGGGAAATTCTGGGCTAGTGACTTAGTTCAGTTTGGTTTTTGGTGTGGATATAACCATGATAGTGGTATCAGCGTATTTTTAGTGATTTAACCACTATATGCATAATGAACAGTGACTGTCTGACACAGAAATCAATTTGACAATGTTGATTGTCTTTTTAAAATTTCTACATCTGTGTGTTCTTTTTGATATTTTGCTAGTATGTTGCATGAATTCCATGATTAATATCTTGACATTTCATGACTAAAATGCAGGGAATACTTCAGTCGCAGGGGAGAGTCCTGAAAAAGATGAGATTTATGCCTTCGTCTTTGACTTCTAATTCTCATAGATTATTGACTGCACTTGTTGATTCACGGCATAAAAAGGTGTTTAGGGTCAAAAAAACTGTCACTGACATTGATCCTGAGAGGGAGAAGGAGCAAAAGGAGAAGGTTAGATGATTGAAAGTGTATAATTATCCTCCCGTCTGTGGTTAGGAACTTTTTTTAATCAAATTACTGGTGTTGTAGGCTGAAAGTCAAACAATTAGGGCCAACGAACTTCTTAGTCGGAAGAAGGAAAAAGTGAACCGGAAGTATACAACAACCGTGCGCAGGGAGCGCCAACTTTCACCTGGCTTCTTGGAGGATGCACTTGATGAGGTATAATAATTCCAGTTATTTAACTGCTGTTCGTGCCTATAAGCATGCTTCTTAATGCAAGTTTAATCATCTGACTTAACAGCGATCACTTTTCTGATCAATATTTTAGTTGGTGTGCATCATTCAAGGGAAAGACTTTGCACCAAGTCTTCCCTTTCCACCCGTTGGGATCCAAGGAGTTCTGGTGTTCCAGGGTTGCTCATATTTTAGTTTTTCGTTTGCCTTCTTATCATAGTTCATACTTAATGACTATCAGGACGATGAACAAGATTATTACGATAATCGTCGCTCTCGACGCCGCTTTGATGAAGACTTGGAAATGGAAGCTCGAGCTGAAAAGCGTATTATCAATGCAAAAAAGGTATACATCTTGAACCTCAAGATTCAATTTCCCTTTCTCATTTCCCTTTTATATAACATACACATCTTCTCTATAACTAGTCTCAAGGTCACAAAGATACTCCTCGCAAGTCATCCTTGAATGCCATTAAATCATCCAGACGTCCAGTTGATGATTATGAAAGTGAGAGAGAGGAGTCTGAGTATGAAACCGAGGGTGAGGAAGATGAGAGGTCCCCTCCGCGTAGGAGGGCTGAGGAGCCAGAGCGTTATGATGATGAAGATGAGGAAGAACAGTATGAGGAGGCATTGGCCGACGAAGCTTCAGAAGAAGAGACAGTATGCATCATTAATCTTTCATCATCAAGTCTACTTAAAAGCCTAGAAATTCACTAAAATAGTATATTAGTGAGGGGTCCAATCACCAATTAACAAACTTTTCCGAAAATAACACAAAATAGTAGTTCGCAAAGGGCTTTTTGAAGTCCCTCCTTTCTTGCGAACTGCCACCTTTTTCTGACTTTTGATTTTCGCAAAGGCTTTTGCATCCCCTAGTTTTTACTAAAATCCAAAATACTGTTCAAGATTGGGCCAAAAGGTCAAAAAAGGACCGAGTTTGCAAAAAGTTGGCAGTTCGCAAAACCCTTTGTGAAATTGGTGGCTATTTCTTGATAATTTTGAAAAAGGAGGCTATTTTTGGTTGGGCTTCATCTTAAAAGGGCTATATTTGTAAATTTTTAAAAGAAAAACCCAATTCCTTCCTTCTCTAATAATATATCTTTCAGGAGTTCAAGCACAAGTCTTCAGGAGGCAGTCTCAAGCGTCAGGAGATAGAATCAGACGAGGAGTCTCCGCCAAGAAAAGCCGCCACATCTCATCGTCGAAAGGCACTTGTTTATGATAGTGATGAAGAATAAAATATATTGGATATCGGTACAAGAATGCAGGTTGGTATCAGTCATCTCAAGAAGAAATATAAGTTTATATATTGAATCAATAGATTTCTAACGTGGCAAACTAGATTTAGCTTGTTAGGCATGCACTTCTTTGATAGAACATTAGAGACATGGATCTAAATGAGCATTCATTTTCTCATCCAATTTAGATGGCTTTTCATTGCAAAATAATCCCCATTTTTGCGAAGAAGGCAAAAAAGAAAATACAAATAGTTTGCAAGAATGAACGATCCTGGAATTTGGATAGATCATGGATATATAAATGCAAAAAACAGAACATCGGACTTGGTAATTTTTGTTGAAAACAGCTCATTCTTAAGTCTAGTGGTTTTTTCCGTTATGTAAGAATGTTGGTTTTTTTGCAATGAAAAGTAAAGTACCATGGTTAGGAAACTTGATCACTAGAATTTAGATTTCAAAGCTGTTTCTGCCTTTACTTGTTTGGCACCTAGTGATGCCTAAATCAGCAATACAAAAACTATATTAATTGTCTTGATCACCATTTGCAGTACGATTTCTAGAGAAATTGTGTTTGACCATGTTTAGGTTTTTGAAAATTGTGTTTGACCATGTTTAGGTTTTTGAAAATTGCCTTTCTATTAGCTTGAATTTCATTGAAGGGGAATTGTAGTAATAGTCATTAATTAAGTGCCCAAGGAAGTGCCATTAGCAAGCAATCACAAGAAGAATAAGTTTAAGTGATGTAGTTCGATACAGTATAATGTGCATAAAATGTAGTCCAGTAATTACGAGCCGGGATTGTATAGAAATCAGGGGTTTGAACTTTGATGTTGGGTGTTGCTATACACTGGGAAAACTTAGACTGATATTGTTCGGATTTCCCTAAGGGTGCATTTGATATGTGAGATGGATGAGATAAGATGGAACAATAACTTGTCCCATGTTTGGCGCGACGTTAGACCGGACAGGACGGGTCTGAGTGGGACAAAAATGCATTTTTCTCACCAAAATAGGTGAAACGAAAACTTGGGAGATGGTATAAGATTAGTATATTACTAGATTACTTATGTCAAATTAAAACCCTAAAACCTCCTCTGTTCTTTTACCCGTCTACCTCAATCGCTCGCCCAATCCCGTCCAATGAAAAAAGGTTGAAGCCTACCAATGGTAGTGGCTCTGGTATGCAGCGAAGTTGGCTGCATTTTAATGCAGACTGCTTTCTGTGATCTCCATCCCCAAAAATGGGTACTCTTTAAAATAAGGGGCCGTTTACTAAACGCTTACTAGGTAAGTGTTTATTGGGTGTCACTTATCTTACTGGGTAAGCATGGCAAGGATCGAGAATCTTACCCGGTAAGTGAGGGAGAAGACTCTTACCGGATAAGCGTTCGGTAAACGGCCCTGAGATTCTACATTTCTATTCTAGTTTGTCCTAAAACAAGTGTCCACTTTCAAAACGCTAGTTATGAGATAGAGAAATTCCCTGCTTCCTCTATTATTAATGGTAAAACTGTCATTTAGTTGATTAAAAAATGTAATAATTACACATATCTAAAACTACGCCTTTTTCATTGTGGACGTTTAATTTTGGACAAAGGGAGTATCTAATTGGCCACTTGAGTGCCAAATTAGTTGCCTTTTATCTTCAAATGACAAATGCACGTAGTCCACATAACACCATATGAATCTATAAAACAGAAAAGCTGCACCTTGTTTTGTCAGGATGGAGAAAGAATGCCGTATTATTCACATCACATTGTCGTTTCTTCACGAAAACAACCCTTCTACTCTCCACAATAGGGGTTAGGTCTGCAACATCTCACTCCTCCCACACCCCATCTCCGAGTAGGATATATTGGGCTCATATGGTTTATCATTGCTATGTCTTCCAGCGATGGATTTAAGAAACCGGGCTCTCCGGTCTCTATCTCTCTATAGTGTGAATTCTTTAGGGGTCTTAAAGGTGCAGCCACTTTAAGTTAATTTGTGCTTCCTTAAGTTAAATGTATTTGCAGCTTAATGATAGTGTCACTGCACGTGATATTATAGGTTGCAAGATTGAATCCCTTCGGGGTTTTTTCAATCTTCTGGTAACAACAGCAGAAAAGAAAAAAAATAACCTGTCTTTTTTAATGAGACTTAGAGACCGTTTACTAAACGCTTACCCGGTAAGTGTTAACCGGGTAATTTTCCTTACCTGATGAACATGACAAGGGTTAAAAATCTTACCTGGTAAGAGCAACGATAAAGATGAAGAGTCTTACTCGGTAAGTGAGGGTGACGACTCTTACCCGGGGTAAGCGCTTACCGGGTAAATTGTTGCATACGATACCATTTTGATATACTACAATCTTACCCGGAAAAATGAATTACAGTGTTGACTCCTAATGATAAACGCTTACTGAGTAAGCATTTAGGTAAACGGTCCCTTACTTTTTATAATTAATTTTTATTTTCTATTTATTTTGTACCCTGCTTGGAAAATTTTCTGGATCCGACTATGGTGTCTAATATTGTGAACATGCAGATGTGGATTTTCGATAACTTGTAACGTTGTTAGAACAATGCGAAGAGGCAGATGATCAACAATGCAACTGCAAAGATCCTCGATGCTTTTCTGTTTGCTTGATACCCGTTTCTGCTCACAGCAGTCGTAAGTCTTGTCATCTTATTCGATTGAAATTGAACATATCGACATTACAAATTACATAGCAGTTTTCTGAAGTTCATTTGATGCAGCATATATTGACCAGTTCTGAAACTTTCCCAATCTTTTCGGGATTTTTGTCACTTATTTGGTCGTCGGCGCATTGTTAGATACGTGCACGGTTTGGTTTGGCTGTTTTCGACTGCAAAATGTCGGCTAAACCCACAAGTGCGGTTTCAATTTTTAGGAACTATTCCTTCCGTCCCAAAATAAGTGTCTACAATATAATTGACATACAATGTTAGATATGAATAATTATCACATTTTTTAGTTAACCAAATGACAAATTTACCCTTAATTAACGTATCCATCTTTATCAACTTTTAAGTATATTTGCATTAATTAAGGGTAGATTTGGAAATTAATTAATTATTTTTGAAAATGGACACTTCATAATGTGGGACGGAGGGAGTAAGTATTTAAATTATATATTAAAATAAGTTGTTTATCAGTACGAGCATCTTCAATGGTAGGTTCTTATAAGGAAAAAGTGTAGTTATAAGTTGCTACCATTGTGGATTGCTCTTGTAAAAGTCATCCATATTTTTGGTGATTCTTATTTCGAATTTTGTATGAAATATTATTTTTTTAGTTTTTTAATTTATTTAATATATAATAAAAACGGAAGTATATGGATACACAAAAAAGAAGTTATTGTTAAGTCACTATTATGAGGTTTTACGGAGATTTTCAATTTGATGTTGTTGTCAATAATGTGACAAGAAAATCATAAGGGTGGTGCTGATTGGTTTGAGCTTGGTTCCAAAGGTCAAAAGTAGGGGTGCTTACGGCCCGGGTTGATCGGTTTGGAGCCGTTTTAACAACCCAATCCAATGTCGGCGGTTTGAAAATTTTCAACCCATCCCAAACAAAAGTTCAACCCAATCCAACCCAACCCAACCCGTTCGGGTTGATCGGGTTGTGTTTAAATAATATAAAATCACATAAAAATAAAGGAAACTTTCCTTTGAAATACGATCGACCATTCAAGATAATATGCAAGTTTATCAAATATTTAGATATTACAATAAAAATGTTTAAACCAAATGATAATACATCAATCAACAACAATAGTTTTAGACGTTTTCAACCCTGATGCTTTCGCTTTCTTGACGTTGAGGTTGGTCATGTCATGATTGTCATCTACAATTCAAAGCTAAAGTTAAGGTCGGGTTCATCGGGTTGTCGGGTTGGTCGGGTTTTTTGGGCTTGACCTGATTCCAACCCAATAAGGTCGGGTTGGCTAATTTTTTTTATCGATCATGCATCGGGTTACCTTGGGTTGGGTTGGTCGGGTTCATCGGGTTTTTGAGCACCCCTAGTCAAAAGTACCAGGAGGTTCCAAGTTCAAATCTAAGAAGAAAATAAAAATCCCCTTGTGGCCACGGAGGTTCAAATGCGGTGACTCCGAGCTATCTGCAAAGCAGGTGGTCGTCCTAGGATTAGTAGGCTTGCATAGCCGGTTAATCAGAAAAAAAAAAAAAACGTGACAAGAAAAAGTAAATAGAAAAAAATGAGTTATTAGAGCATCTTTAGCTGATTCTCTAAAATGGAGAAAATAAAAATTTTGGGATTTTGGAAATGTTTTTTTATTCCAATAGATTCTCCAAAACATTTCTTCAAAATAAAGAAAGTACGAGAGAGGGTAAAGGTCTCCAAGTTTGGATAACACTTCAAAAATGATTACAGAGAGAAATATCTGTTAATATACCAACAGAAAACTCTGAAATTAAATACTTAGAGAGACGAGTTTTAATATTATAATAAATGTTGTATTTTTTAAAATAGAGAATCTGTAGAAGTTGAATATATTTTTGTTTTAGAGATTTTGAAGTTCCATTTTCTTGTATTTGGAGAAATTTTAGAGAATTTATTGGAGTTGCTGTTGGAGACGTTCTTTACTAAACGTGAGCATTGAAATGAGTGCCAAAATGGAAAACGTCTCGAAAAGTACGTAACTACATGAATTTGTGCAAGTTGCATTAAGAAGGCTTTTGTGATTCAATACGAGACGACTGGATTATGTATTTACTGATATACGTTTCGTTGTATTTCATAGAACGGTAAAGCATTTGCGATCAAGTTTTATAAAAACCGTAAGACCGTTGCCAATCCTACCATCACAATAAACACCAATATTCTTATCTGGTAAGAGCGATGACAAGAACTAAGAGTCTTACCTGGTAAGTGAGGGTGATGACTCTTACCTGGTTAACGCTTACTGTGTAAATTGTTGCATATGATGCTGTTTTGATAAGCTAAAATCTTATCCGGTAAGTTAATTGATAGTGTTGAATCTTACTGGTAAGTGTTAAGGTAATCAACCTCTTACTCTTTTATCGTACTTCATTTGTAAGTGATTTCAATTTTGTACGAATTGATCTACACAAATACAAGAAAATTATATATCTAAATATTGCATGTGGTCAGAGAAGGTGTGTTAGGGGCCGTTTACCAGACACTTACCCGGTAAGTGTTTACTGGTAAAATTTAATACTATTATTTACTTAACGAGTAAGATTTTAGTCTATCAAAACGACATCGTATGCAACAATTTACCCGATAAGCGCTTACCGTGGTAAGAGTGGTCGCCCTCTCTTACCGTATAAGACTCTTGGTCCTTGTCTCGTTCTTACCGGGTAAGATTCTTGGTCTTTACCATATTCATGCGGTGAAGTAATGTTACTTGATAAACGCTTACCTGGATAAGCGTTTGGTAAATAGCCCCTTAGAGTTTTTTTTTAAAAAGGGGAATTGATAAAAATAACCCATCTACTCAAATCAATCCACTTTATACTTATTTCAAAACCCATTTTCACTTTATAGCCAATAGGGGTATACATGGATTGAGTTTGGCGGTTTGGGAGATTTTTACAACCCAACCTAATTATGACAATTTGGAAAAATCTCAACCCAACCCAACAATAAGTTGTTAAACATATTCATTGTCCGCCTTTTCTTAACTCTTTCTAAAACTTAATCATCTCCTCACAAATGAAAACGAAAACCATAACCCGCGAAAACCGTTTAACCCAATCCGCTAATATATATATATATATATATATATATATATATGGGGCCATTCAAGGAAGAAATGACTAGTTTGTGGTAACCCTGAGATCTAATCTTAACCACAAATCAATAGATAAATTAGAAAATTTATAATTTTGGTAATTTTTAATTAAAATTTTAATGCAAAAACATTTTAGGTATTTTCTCTCCTCTCTTCTCTCTCGGTCCCCGTCTTCCGGCCTCTGGCCACCGTCCTTCGGTGATACCACAGTGTGATACACAAGCACATATAAGATGCATTGTGATACCATTGTGTTACATATCCGATCGACCACACAAACAATCTCAGTGTGATACCCAATCACATATAAGATGTATTGTGATACCACTGTGGTATCACACCGGAGGACGGAAAGAGAAGAGAGGAGAGATGAGAGAAAATACCTAAAATGTCTTTGCATTAAAATTTTAATTACAAATTACCAAAATTATAAATTTTCTAATTTATCTATTGATTTATGGTTGAGATTGGACCTCACGGTTATCACAAATTAATTAGTTCTCATTTGATTAGGCCCCTATATATATATATATATATATAATGTAAGAATAAAAAAATTACTAGTCTAGTTAGACTATTTTACAGTCCAAAGAATATATAATACATTTTACTTATCGTTTGTAACTTCTACAGCTCCAAATATATATATATATATATATATATATATATATATTATATAATTTAGGACATTACAACCCAAAAACTCTATGTAATTATTGTGAAAAAGACTATGTTTTATCATAGTAAACGGATTGGAACAAGTTCTTTGTGGAATCACTTAAAATATCAATGTAAAAAGTACCCAGATAGGGTGTGTGATAAAAAACAAAATTGGTTTAGCTTTCATACTAGCAATGATATTGAGGTGTCATTTAAGAAGAAGAATTATCTAAAAGTCGTGGCTAGGTTTGTGGTGAAGGATGAAAATCCTTTAGGTAACATTTGGTACGCAAACATGATTGGACATGACTGTACAAGACATAACTGAACATGACAAGAGAGTAGTACTAAACAAGACTGAACAAAACAAGTGTATGTATCGTGTTCGGTACGACTAGCACTGAATATGACAGAACTAGACAAGTTGCCTTCAAAAGTTATTTTATGATTTTATATCATGAAAAATTATGATTGGTTGAATGAGAGTTTGTACGGTTTGTACAAATAACGTGGTTTACAAAGTAAACCTCATATATATATATATATATATATATATAGAGAGAGAGAGAGAGAGAGAGAGAGAGAGAGATAGATAGAGAGAGAGAGAGATGAGC